TTTTTGAATTCTTTTTTCTATTTCTGTGAAATATAGTTTTGGAATTTCAATTGACATTGCATTGAATCTGTGTAGCAGTTTTGGTAGTACGGCCATTTTCACTATGTTGATTCTTCCTACCCAGGAGGAGGGGATATCTTTCCATTTTCTTATATCCTCTTTGATCTCTTTTTTCAAAGTGCTTTAGTTTTCAGTGTAGAAGTCTTTTGCTTCTTTTGGTAGATTGATTCCTAGATACTTCATTTTTTTGGATGCTGTTGTGAAAGAAATTGTTTCCCTAATTTCTCTCTCAGTGACTCTGTTATTTGTGTACAAGAAGGCTGTTGATTTTGGGGTGTTGACCTTGTATCCAGCTACTCTACTAAAAGTGTTAATTAAGTCTAGAAGTCTTTTGCTAGAGTTTTTGGATCTTCAATGTAACATATCATATCATCAGCAAATAATGACAATTTAACTTCTTCCTTTCATATCTTTATTGCTCTAATTTCTTTCTCTTGCCTAATTGCTATGGCTAAAGTTTCCAGAACTATATCGAAGAGGAGTGGTGATAGTGGGCATCCTTGTCTTGTTCCTGATTTTAACATGAAGATTTTCAGTTTTTGGCCATTTAGTATGTTAGCTGTTGATTTTTCATAGATCACCTTTATTAAGTTGAGATATAGACCATCTATTCCAATTTTTTGCAGGATTTTTTAATCATGAATGGGTGTTGAATTTTGTCAAATGCTTCTTCTGTATCTATCAAGAGCATCATATGATTTTTGTCCTTGACTCTGTTAATATAGTGTATTACATTTATTGACTTATGTATGTTGAACTATTCTTGAATCCCTGGAATAAATCCTACTTGGTCAGGATGTATGATCTTCTTGATGATCCTCTGTATTCTGTTTGCTAGTATCTTATTAAGGATTTTTGCATCTGTATTCGTTAAGGAGATTGGTCTGTAGTTCTCTTTATTAGTAACATTTTTCCCTGGTTTGGGAATCAAAGTGATACTTGCTTCCAGGAATGAGTTTGGAAGTATTGCTTTCCTTTCAATTTCATTGAAAAGTTTGAAGAGTAATGGCAGCAGTTCTTCTGTAAATGTCTTGTAAAATTCAGCTGTGCATCCATCAGGACCAGGGCTTTTCTTTGTTGGTAAAATTTTAATTACATTTTCAATTTCATTGATTGTAATTGTGGTGTTTAAAATGTTTTTATCTTCTTTGCTCAATTTTGGTAATTCATAAGTATCTAGAAATGTGCCCATTTCTTCTGTGTTTTCCATTTTGTTAGAATACAAGTTCTCAAAGTAGTTATTGATTATCATCTGGATTTCTGTTGGATCTGTTGTGACTTTACCTTTTTAATTCCTAATTGCATGGATCTGAGCCTTTTCTTTCCTTTGCTTGATAAGGTTAGCTAAGGGTTTATCAATTTTATTTATTCTTTCAAAAAACCAACTCTTTGATTCATTTTTTTTGTATTGTTTTTTAGTTTCCATTGCATCGATTTCTGCTCTTATCTTTATTATTTCCTTTCTTGTTTGAGCTTTGTTTTTTTCTTTCTCTTGTTATTCTAGGAGTCTAAGAGTCATCATTAGGTTGTTTATTTGAGCTCGCTCTGTTTTCCTAGTGTGGACATTCAATGATATGAAATTTCCACATAGAACTGCTTTCATTGTGTCCCATACATTCCTGTATGTTGTATTGGCATTTTCATTTATTTGTAAAAACTGTCTGATTTCTTCCTTAATTTCCTCTCTTATCCATTGATTGTTCAGGAGAGTGTTGTTCCATTTTCACTTGTTTGTGAAATTCCTATGGTTTCTTGTACTATTGATCTCCAGCTTCATTGCACTATGATCTGATAATATACAGGGAATAACTTCGATTATTTTGCAATTATTCAAACCTGTTCTGTGAGCTAATATGTGATCTATCTTGGAGAATGACCCATGTGCAGCTGAAAAGAATGTATATTCTTATTTTGTGGGGAGGAACACTCTATAAATGTCTATTAAGTCCATGCTTTCAAAAGCTTGGTTCAATTGTAGTATTTCATTGTTGACTTTTGGCCTAGATGATCTGTCTGTTTGTGAAAGTGGGGTGTTTAGATCCCCCACTACAATTGTATAAATGATTATTGGTTTTTCATGTTTCTTAATATTTCTTTTATATAGTTGGGGGCATTAGTATTTGGTGCATATATGTTTATGATTGTCATCTCTTCCTCTTGAACTGTTCCCTTTACAAGGATGTAGTGGCCTTCTTTGTCTCTTTTAATTAGTTTTAGTTTGAAATTTACTTTGTTTGCCAATAAAATTGCTACCCCTGCTTTTTTCTGGGTTCCTGTCACATGGATAATTGTTTTTCACCCTTTCACTTTCACTCTATGGACTTCTTTTTGCACTAGGTGTGTTTCTTGTATACAACATATTGTTGGATTTTGCTTCTTAATCCATACTGCCAGTCTGTTTCTCTTGATTGATTAGTTGAGGCCATTGACATTGATGGTTATAACTGATATATTCTAACTTAATATTGTCATGTTATTGGCCTTTTGTTGACTCTTTTTACTTTTTTGCCTTCTCCTTTTAGTTTCTTTCCTTGCCTATTTGATTTGCTCTGTTGGGCCTCATGGTGGTGTGATCTTCATTGTCTTTTTCTAGGATATTGTTTAGAATTGCTTGTAGTGCTGGTTTGGTATTCATGTAGTTTCTCAGGTGTTCTTTATCGTGGAAGTATCGTATTGCCCCATCCATTTTGACAGAGAGTTTTTCAGGATACATCAGTCTAGGTTGGAGGATGTTTTCTTTTAATACTTGAAATATCTCACTCCAGGCTCTCGTTGACCTGAGGGTTTGTGTAGAAAAGTCGCTGTGATTCTGATGGGCTTTCCTTCGCATGTGATTTGTTTCTTTTCTCTTACTACTTGAAGTATTTTGTTCTTCTGTTGGGTTTCTGGGATCTTGATTATTATATGTCTAGGTGTACATTTTTTTTTTTTGATTGTGGCTAGCTGGGGTCCTATATGCCTCACTTATCTGAATGTCAAATTCTTCCCCTCTGTTTGGGAAGTTTTCTGTCATTAATTCTGTGAACAGCCTTTTAAAGTAATTTGTATTTTCTCCTGCTACTTCATGGATTCCTATCAGTCTTATATTATTCTTCTTTCCTTCATCTAGGAGCTGTTGGATTGATTTCTTATGATCCCTTACTGTTTTTAAGAGACCTCTCTTTTCATGGTCACTGAGGGCAATCTCATCATCTATATCTGAGATTCTATCTTTGCATTCTTTTATTCTGTTTTGTACACTTTCAATGGTGTTTAATCTCCTGGATATCTGTTTGAATCTGTTTTATGGATTCCATTTGTTTCCTATGTTGGGAGTTTATTGTTTCCATTTCTTTCTTATGCTGGGCCTTCATGGCTTCTTATCGTGGTCCTGAGCTCATCTATTTTTTTGTCAGTTTCTGTTCTAGAGTCTTGAATCATGACTCTTATTTTGCTCACCATCTCTATGTTTATCTGGGAAATTATTTCTGTTTTGAGTTTTTCTAGGGCGTGATTTATCTGTTTTGTTACTTCCTGTGCTTTGAGTTCAGGGTGTCCTGGTGGTTCACTATCAACCTTTTCATCCTCATTTGCCCTACTGTTTGCCATTGGTGAACTGGAAATCTGTGTTTGTGTCTTGTTTAAGTGTTTTCTCATTTTTATTTTTGTTGTTGGTCTGTCCTTGGTTTAATCTCTGGGTTATCACCCAAATCTTCCTGATATAGTTGCTCCCTAGCTTCTGGGTCTCTAATGACCCACAGACGTTCTCATCTTCATAACTTCAGAGAAAACAGCTCATTGAATCAACCACAAACCTTTATCCCAACTGATACAATCAGCAACACAATATGATCAAGCACAACATGGAAACTTACCACCTGTGGTAGTCACTAGTCTATCACCTTTAAACCATTTGAGTTAAACTGAAATCAAGAAGTAGTCCAAAACATGTCTGCAGTGAACAAACTGTTCAATATAGTGTATTTACCATTTAGGATGGGGGCTCAGACAGAGCTAGAACGCAAGACCCCTGATCTCAGCTCGCTGATGGCATAACCCCACGATGCATACTGACCTTGGGCTGCAAGGCCCAGAATGAGTTCCCCAACCTCTTGAGCGGTTGAACTCCATACCGTTCTAGTACAGGTTTCCCACATCCTTTCTTTAAAGATATTCAAAGTTTGGAACTCAGAAAAATACCCTTTATGACTACCTCTGCCTCTGCAGAGTGGGTCCAAAGACTGATACAATCAGGAGGTTTGAGAGTGAGGGTGTGGGAGAGTGTTGGGGGAGTTGAGGGCATTCAGGGGCATCAGTGTGGCTACCTTCCTGGTGCTGGAGCAATGGCGGTGGCCCCGCAGGAGAGGGCTTTTCTATCCTTCCCCTGGTCGGGGCCCAAGCTGGTCCTCCTGGTGCTGGAGAGATTGAGGCAGCCCATCAGGAAAGGGCATGGATGATAACACTCTTTAACAAGCATCTTAGTTGACTGGTAACAGGATGTCATTTCATCGATCCTAGGGTGGCATGATTGTAAGATGCTTTGTTATATTATGAAACACTTAAAAACAAAACACTTCTGCCAATCTATGACACAATGTTATTTTATTATTTAGATGCTGTAGTTTTGAAAATTCTTCTCTAGAATTCGTTAGATGTAGGTTTTTCACATGTAATGATTCTTTTCCCGTTCTTAGATAATGACATAAGATTCAGACTCTGTGTGATTCATTCTAGCAATGTGCGTGGATCAGTGAAGTCCAAGTGGTTCACACAATATGACCCAGTCCTGTATGTATGAAATGTGACAACTGAATCTTAAGTGCTGCCTGAGAGAACCTCTTTCTGATTCCTATTCTTAATTTCAGAGAGGAGAAAATGCATGACATATTGCATATCCTTAACTGACTTTATTCATTGCTTTACTTTTATACTGTTCCTCTCTCAAAATTCAGTGAAGGGATATACTTACCTGGCAGGGGAGATATGGTGATCATGAAGGTGGTTTTCCCAGGGAGAGGCTCATCTGTTGCACTCCAGATGTGCCAAGCCCTGAAATTTATCCAAATGTGGGAAACAACTCTATGGCATAATTTGTGGTAGTGGGGGACTGCCTTCACACTCTCCACTGGTAAAAAAAAAATCAATGAGGGAAAATTTTTCTTCTTTTATTCATTAAAAAAAATGCCTGGAGCATAGTTGAAAGTACTTTAAATATATTGAAAGAAATCGGAGAAAGCATTTTTTTTAATTTCACTCAACTATATTTACCTCTTATGATAATTATAGAAAATATCCACCAAAAGTTCATTTCCTGCATCTTGTTGATTTGCAAGCCTGTCAGATTTAAAATAATGCTTGAATGAAGTCTACTATAAGAAAAGAATAAGACACACATGTTACTAAGTCCTGAAAAGATTTACTTATGTGCCTCTCAACCATATATATAGATAATCTTCAGAAAAAAGCAACATATTTAAGGCAATAGTGATCCCCATGCTACCTAAAATGAACTGTCCTTGGCTTCAGGAAGTAGAAATTTATTTCTCACTCATAAAAGGTTTAGTTGAAGCTTTGGTGGTAATGAGTGAGGAGCTCAAGCTGTTGGAGGCTTTGGAATCTATAAATGTAGTTGCTGGAATCTCTCTGAATGTCCCTATCAGCCAAATTCCAGCAAAGTGTAGAGAAGCACTCAGCAGGGTGTTGGGTGCACCATGTTTGGAAAGGTTGTTAATCTGTTCTCCCAGATCCTAAATAGCACAGTGCATCATGTGAGCCCACATTATATCTACCATGTAATATTAGGACTCATTTGTATTACAGAAAAGGTGAGAAGACCAAGAGATAAGGGAAAAGATCTTAAGGAAAAAATGCCATTTTTGCTTTTATTTCTATTATTATAGGACAGTTTATCACAGTCTAGTACATTATATTTGCTCAGCCTAGTGACTGTGAGAATCAGTCACACTTTCACAGGTATCACTAGTCTTTTAATTTTTTTCCTCACTGAATTTATTGGTACTTTTTAGGTGTCCAGTGCAGTTACATTCATCATTGGGATCTTGTACCTTTACTGGTTTTTTTAATTTTAATGATAAATTACCCAATATCTATACTGGATCACAATTGTTTTTCCCCCCGCTCTGTCTCTCTCTCTCTCTCTCTCTCTCTCTCTCTCTCTCTCTCTCTCTCTGTGTCTCTCATCTCTTCTTTCATATTTTATTTATATATTGAATTTTTCATATAAGCAAATCATGGGATAATTAAGCTTTGCTACTGTAATCAAGCACATTAACTATTTAAACAGTGCATATAAAAGTGCACCTTGATTTAGTATCAGATTTTCGTGTTTTGTGTTTGTTGGTTTATTATTCTGGTTCTTAAATGGTATATGTCATAACGAATTTTGTAAGGACTTAAAAATAAATGAATCAGATTCTGTCAAAATAAAAGGAGATTGGGTGGAGGAGAAAAGGGAAACAAGATGTGCTGTATATATGCACTGATTTCCTGTAATAAATCTAATCATTGGCACTGCAAGCATATACTAACAAATAATTTCTAAAACCCTCTATCAAATATGCTTATAGTATAGTGTTAGAAGTGCTTTCTTATTTATATCTATATCTGAGTTTGATGTGCTGGCTGGAGGTGGTCAGATCTTTCTGTGCTCAAGCTTGCCCACTCCTTTAGCTATCACCTAGCCCAGTGCTCAGGGTCCCATAGGTACCAGGAAGTCCCCTCACCCACAGCCCACTTCACTGCTCACACGGTGAATCTGACCTGATTGCTTTGAGCTGCCTGGTTCTCACCCTGAAATCAAAGCCAAGTCTCCCCTCAGTTTGCCTCCTGACTGACCTGTCCATCCTGAGAGTGGCCCTGGGTGGTCTGCTTCATCCCCCAACCAGGGAATGGTGAATTACAAGGAAGTGTGAGATTCTTTCTACTTACTCTCTCCTGCTCTTCATCTGTCCCCATCCCATCTCACCCGGGATAATAAAATGAAAACAGTGCCATAAAAATTTTAGTTGATCAATATATTTGGTCATTTCATCAGATGATCATTATTCTAAATAAACAGTTGTGGTTAACTATTCTTACTACAGTAAATCTAATAATATAAGGAATAATATCACAGATCAACACATGGGAATGCAACAAATTTAAAAGCTTCCTGCATAGCAAAAAACAATCAACAGTGAGGAAACAAAGTACAGAATTGAAATAAAAATTGTCATCTAGTCTTTGATAGATGAGTAATATCTACAATAGATAAAGAATTCACAAATCAATTTCTAAAACAAGGAATCCAAAGGAAAAGTGAAAGAACAAGTAGCCAGGAGTGGTCGCATAAGCCTGTAATTCCAGCACTTGGGAAGCTGAGGCAGGAGGATTGTTGTGAGTTTGAGATTGGCCTGGGCTACATAGTGAGTTCCAGGTCAGTCTCGACAAGTGAACTGAATACACACTTCTCCAAAGAAGACGTGCACATGGCCAACAGGTATGTGAAAAGGATTTTGCACCTTTAGCCATCAGGGAAATGCACATAAAAACAATTCTGAGGTTCTATTTTCTCCAGTGGGAGTGGCTATCAGGAAGAACCCAAAAACAACAAATGCTGGAGCGAGATGGGAGAAAAAGAAATACTTTGGTGGAAATGCAAACTACTGCAATTACTTTGGAAATCCGTATGGAGATTTAAAAAAAATAGAAATTGTATTTGACCCAGGTATACCTCTCCTGGGTATACTACTGAAGAAGGTAGAGTCATGGCACTACAGTGACACGTGAATGCCTGTGTGTATCACAGCACGATTCACAATTCATAAAGCTAAGCTCTGGAAACAGTTTACCTGCCTTACAACAGATTTCTGGTAAAGATCATGTGACACACACACATACACTGTGTGTGTGTGTGTGTGTGTGTGTGTATAGATAGATAGAGAGAGAGAGAGAGAGAGAGAGAGAGAGAGAGAGAGAGAGTTACCTTGGTTCATGAACACTTATGTTTGCAAACATTTCATTTAACAAAGTGTTCAGCAAAATTTTGCTTCTGTTCACAAATTTCACCTCAGGTGATGAATAGAGTCATGGCCATCTTCCCCACACAAACAAGAAGGCAACCGTACAATTTTGTTTCGTGAATCTAATATATAATTATATATGTACACCATTTACCCATAAAGAATAATGAAATTGTGTGAGTTGCAGGAAAATGGTCATATCTATAGACCGTAATGTTAAGTGAAATATGCCAGAAACTAGACTTTGAATATGGGATACTTCTCTTATATGAGAAACTCCAAATAAAATTGAATTAAACAGTGAAGCAAAGTTGAGGCAATAGGAAACAGAGGGATAGACTCTTTGGAAATGTGGCAAAGAAGCATGGAAAGGACAGCGGGGGAGGTTGTGCAGGACCGTGAGGGGGTGACAGTTGGTCAAGGCTCTGTGCATGCACCTGTTCCACCAAAAGGCATGTAACTGTGAGATGCTGTACATATGCTCTAGCGTACACACGGACTTAGACAGTAAAACATGAATTCTTTCTGAGAACCTGCACAGTCATTGTTCTTGGACAAATAAGTAAACGCTCAGGAGTGTGAAGCCTGAATGACCAAGTTGCAGCTTCATATCTGCGTCACTTCCGGCTCCACATGAAGACGTCAGCAAGGAAACTGCAAGTTTCACGTAATCCCCAGTTTTTGGTCTCGTCAGTTTCTAGTGTACGTTGTTGTGCTTTTCCAGGGGTGCACATTCCCCATGTAACTAATGAGGCTGAGTGTTTTTTTTTTCTTGTGTTTATTGAAAATTCTATTTTTTAAAACCATTTGACTAGTTTTTTGTCTTAAGTAATAATGTGCCTTAGAGGTACACAGTTTTGACACATATACTGAGAATGTTTTCTCTAACTCTGTCCCTTGCCTTTCGCTTTGTTATATTATATCTGTAGGTAAACACAAAATTTTAAGTTTCTTGAAGTTATTTTTTCTTCTTTTTGGCTTTTCATCTTTTTGTTAGTAAATTTACACAAAAATGAGCTCTGCCGCGGCATCTTCGTGCATTCACTGCCCCATTTTGACCCTGTCCGCCACCTTCCTGTTCTTCAGTGGCCTCCACTGTTGGCTCTCCCTGATCCCCACCCTTTTTTACTGCAGTCTTCCCTCCCTCCCTCTCTCCCTCTTTCCTCCTCCTTCCCTTCCTTCCTTCCTTCCTTTCATACACCGAGGATGGAGTTCTCTTGTCAAGTAAATATTTCACCATTCTAGCCATAGACAGTATCTTTTTTTGTACTTGTTTTTTTTTGTTTTAGTTATTACTGTTAAGTCCATGATCCACATAAAACTAATTTTGAAGATCTTATAATACATGAATTAGAGATCCCATTTTTTCTTATTGATATCACGTTCTTCCAGTACATTAACTGCAAATAAATTATTTCTCATATCAAAGTGTTATGGCCTCCTTATTGACAATCAGATGATGCTTTACATGCATGTTCTTTTGCATTCTGTTCAGTGGACTTGTACCTGTATCTTTATGTGAATATCATGTGGTTTTGATAACTACTCAGGTATTCAAATCTATTTAATTATAATTCTGAGTTTGTGTTTTTTAATATTATCTTGCTTTTCTAGGTTACTTACTTTTCATTTTTAGAAGTAAATACTGAATTTCTTTTAAAAATTCTGTAGAGATTTTAATTGGGATTACACTGAATTCCATGAACCATTTAGGAAAATGTAGCATGTTAACAATGCTGACATTTCCAGACAATGGATATAGTACACCTCTCTATTTATTTAGATTTTTCAGAATTTCTCCTTGGATTTTTATGGTGGTTGGTAAAATATTGTATCTCCTTTTGCAAAATAATCTCATTCTTTTATTTTCACATGTGAACTTCTCAACAGAATCCACATATCTGCCACTGCAACTATAATTGTGACCCCATTACCATTTTCCTAAATTTCCTATCCCTGTCAATTCTTTGCATCTGTACATATTCCCCAAACTATGAGTTTTTTTCTTCAAAAGCCAATTCAGTAGCCCTGGGGATATGTACTTACCTGAAATCTGTAGTCAGACTCATAATAGACTGAATAATTTTTCACATACAGAATGGTTG